TTTAATATCCAAAATATATAAGGACCTTGCCCAACTTTACATGGGAAAAAAAAAACACAACACCAAACTTTTTTTTTAAAAAATGGGCAGAGAAACTGAATAAACATTTCTCCAAAGCATATAAATGGCAAATAGACATATGAAGAGATGCTCTACCTCATTAATCATCAGGAAAATGCAAATTAAAACCATATCTGTTAGGATGGCTATTATATTAAAAAAAAAGACAGGAAATAATAAGTGTTGGTGAGAACGTGGAGAAAAGAGAACCCTTGTGCAGCGCTGGTTGAGATGTAACTTGGTGCATACACTATGGAAAACAATGTGGAGGTCCTCAAAAATTAAAAATAAGCTGGCATTTCTACTTCTGAGTATTTATCTAAAGAAAATGCAAACACTAACTCAAAAAGATATATGCACATGCACTGCATGTTCACTGCAGCATGGTTTATAATAGTCAATAAATGGAAACAACTTAAGTTCCCATTGATGGGTAAAGAAATTGTGATATATATAGATAGATATATAGATATATATTATTCACTCATAAAACAAAAATTAAATTTTGCCATTTGTGACAACATAAATGGACCTTGGGAGCATTATGCTAAATGAATTAAATGAGACAGAGAAAGACAAATACTGCATGATCTCTCTTATATGTGGAATCTAATAAATAAATAAAACTCATAGATACAGAGAACAGACTGGTAGTTGTCAGAGGCAGGAATGGGGAGGGGGGAGGTAGGAGAAATAGGTGGACTGTTCTTTGGGTTTAATTTTTGTGCAGATAAATTGATTTACTTTTAAAACACCCACAACAGCAAAACCTGGGGAGGTGGAGTCGGGGGGTGGGGGGGAATCTGATTTTTAAAATTACCATGTAAATAAAACATGTCATTAAATAAAACATGTCAATAAATAAAACTAGACATGCAAAATGTCTAGTTTATAAATGTATACCTACCCCATAAGTTGTTGTGAAGAACCAATAAAACTAGTAATTCACATCACAGCATCCAGAGAAAATACATAGTATTTTGTATTATGTATTTGTATAATATACAAGTTATATTGGCATAAATGGATGACTACTCAAAGCCAAGGATGAGGAGAACATAAGGTGAGGCATGCATGCCACTGAAGCTCTGGTAGACAGGGTTAGTTAGGGCGTTCTGGGCTGACACATGTCAAAGCATTTGACTCTCCCTGGTATCGCATGAGCCCGCCATACATGTTTTTCATGAATACAGAGGAGACAGACCTGTGAAATGCAAGGAGCTCCGCAGACTGGGGCAGTGATAACGGCGAGGAAAGGGCAGGTCCTTCCGGGGCCCATTTTACTGACCTGTGTGTCTTCCCAGATGGAATGTGTCTTGTCCCTACAGCAACAAATTGTTGTTCTCACTTCCTGATGGACTCTGGGTGACCAGCCTCAGACAAACCCCCGGGTACCTTGTAACACTGTAAGGAACAAGAGCACCCAGGCTGCTGACGCATGAGGCATGCAGAGCGCCTGGCATATTAAGCACTGGCACTTGGAAACTTAAGACTCAAGATTCCATGTCTGCAGCCTCCAACAAGGTGAAACCCCTCCTGCTGGCTGCTGCCTCTCTGGCGCCACCGTCTGGTGTCAGCTGGGTGGCACAAGGCCTACAAAACCTGCCAGATCTCTGGTCTTTTTTTTTATTTTTTTTTATGAAGGCTTTTTTTTTTTCTTTATCGAGAAACTTAAGACTTGGGTACATCAAATAAAACCAATTTCTAGGGGCGGGGGAGAATCAAAACTGTCTGGACCATAGTAGAACCCAGAGGATATATTTGTGTAATTGAAAAATTCTAGAGTTTCCTGCAGACCCGGAAGTGAATGGAACTGAATGACAGACATGCTCGGGATTGACTTATCAAGACAGAGTTCACCTGAGAAAGGAGCCTAGAGGAAGAGGAAAGAAAGGGAGACAGAAATGACTCGTTCCCAGATGCTGTTGACCTTCAGGGATGTGGACACAGAAATCTGTCAGCAGGAGTGGGAATGCCTGAACCCTGCACAGAGGGGCCTTGTGCAGGGAGTGATGCTGGAGAACTCGGGAGCCTGCGCTCCCGGCGGAGGATATCTCTGCAGATGTGTGGCCCATGAATTATCACCAAAGGAGGAGAGTAACAAAGGAAGATTTTCCCAAACAGTGATGGGAAGACACAAAAGCAATGACATCAAGGATTTTGACTTCAGGAAAGTGCAGCAAAATATGCATGCTTGTGAGAGTCAGTGTGGATACAATGAAGCAAATTACAAAGGTATGACTATGTCCATAACAAAAATTTCACTGGTACAAGAGATCAACAGCATGATGAACCTTGGAATAACTGCCTTATGAAGTGGACTGTCGCTATAAGAAAAAGTACTTATAAACATAAATCATATATAAGGTATTAAAACATACCAAAACCTCTGCAGGAAACCAAAATCCTATTTTCTAATCAATTACACAAATGTATTTCTAATCTTATTAGAAAATAGAATGAATAGATTAAGGTTTCAGTCCAATCTGGCTGAACTTCAGAAGTTTCGAACTGAAGAGGAAGTTTATGAATGAAATCAAGTTGAGAAGTTTATCAACAACAGTTGCTCTGCTTCACCACTTGAGAGAATTCCTCCTACTGTCAACATCAACATTTGTAATAAATCTGGGGAAATTTTTTAAAAAGAAAAGTTCCAGGGGCTTTATAATTGATTTTTTGAGGCAAAATCTGCAATTTGTGCTCCTAGGTGTTGAGGTTCACAGGACAAGCTAAGAAGTCTTCAAACCTTGAGCTGAATTCCGTAAGTTATCTGGCTTTTGTTAATCCTTGCCCAAGGATGTTTTTTCCATTGATTTTTAGAGAGACTGGAAGGGAGGGAGGCAAGGAGAGTGAGCTAAACATCAATGTGAGAGAGACGCATCTATTGGTTGCCTCCTGCACATACCCAATTGGACTGAGAATCAAACCTGCAACCCAAGTATGTGCCCTTGACTGGGAATTGAACCCGAGGCCCTTTGGAGCATGGTTCAAAGCTCTGACCATTGAGCACACTGGCCAGGGCTATCTGGCTTTTTTAAAAAAATTCTTTATTGTTGAAAGTATTACACATGTCCCCTTTTCCCTCCATTGTCCGCACCCAGCCTGCTCCTGCCCTGGCCTTCATTCCCCCTCTATTGTCTGTGTCCATTGGTTATGTTTATATGCATACAAGTTCTTTGTTTGATCTCTTACTCCCCCCCCCATTGCCACCCTCCCCCCTTCCTGTTCATCCCCCCTGCCTTCCCTCTGAGGTTTGACAATCTGTTTGATGCTTCTATGTCTCTGGATCTATTTCTGTTCATCAGTTTATGTTGTTCATTACATTCCACAAATGAGTAGGATCATGTGATACTTATCCTTTTCTGACTGCCTCATTTCACTTAGCACAATGCTCTCCAGGCTTTTAAATTGGTTTTTCCTTGTCTAACAGTAGCGTCAGCACCCACCTCTAGGTGGCTTCTTCCTTAGCATAGTGAGCTTCATCCCCCTGAGAGGGCAGACACTCAGAGACTGTAGCATGTGCAGCAGCTCCAAGTTGCCAGTCCCCAGAAGCCGTCCCTTAATCTTTCCAGCAGCTCTGAATGCAACATTTGGATGCGCAGGAACAAATGTCCCAGCATCTGCTTCTGTTCCTGGGAGAGAGCTATGGCTCCTGCCCTGGACATGGTCCACAGGCTACGGTGCCGACAGAGGCCCTGTAGCAGGAGATGAGGGCTGTGGGCCCTGGAGGCATATTTGTGAGCTGCAAACACGCTGGTCCTGTGGATCCCAGCCAAGCTTTGCTACCTCAAAGTTGATCTCGAGATCAAGTTCTGGAGATGGATCAAGATCCATCCTCAGTAATAGAGAGTCTTCCCCCTCCCTATTTCCTGAGGGTGAAGAAATTAGAGGGATGAAGGGTTGTTAACTCGAGATTGTTCTCTTGGCAACTTGCCTACAAACGTGTCAGCATCATCCCTACTGGGCAGTTTTTGTGCCTTTGAGATTGAGAGAGACTCATGGATGATTTAGAAATAATAATAAATGCTGATGCACAAATAACACTTCTCAGCATTCAAAAGCATTTCTGTGTTCCTTGTCTTGTAGTGGAGCATATAAATGGCAAGTTTTATAGACCAGGGTTCAACTTTTAGCCCTGCTGTGTTACCTGGGGTAAGTTACTTGACCTACCGGAGCCTCCATTTCATCATCTATAAAATTGGGATAAAAATGCCCTCCTCAAAATGTTGTGTTGGGAAGATTAAAAAGAACAGTAAATGCTAAACCAAATACCCAGCACACGCTAAGAGCTCAGTTAATGTTCGCTAGGGCTATGATTATTCCCACCGCAACTTGGTGAGGCGGGGCAGGCCTGCTTTACAGATGCAGCAATTAGAGCTCAGAGACATGGAGTGACTCATCCATGTGAGGGGCAGAGTCCCCTGGGGCTCCAACTCAGGTTCTCCGGGCGTTGAGTCCAGGCCCTCTCCTCACACTGTGTCCAAAGCGCCTGCCAAGTCTGCAGACACTCAGCTGAGGCTGAGACGACAGGGCTGGAGAAACGGGCACATTAGGGGGAGCAGCGCAGGGAGGGGAGGATCCATCAGACAGGCGTGAACTGGACGCTGAGCTCAGGGGCCTGATGACCCAGACACAGGGGTGGGGAGATTTAACTCCGGTCCATGGCAGGGAAAGCCAGCCAGGTTTGTGAGGCTGATGTTGCTGGCATTAAAAGGACAGAAGGCCGAACAAGTAGCCAGTTCAAGCTGACTCAGGGAGCAGCACAGTGACATGACAGGCCAGAGGCCGGAGACAGGGAGACAGAGGAAGAGCTCAGAGACAACAGAACTGGAGGGAAGAAAACTTGACTGACAGGCTCCAAGATAGCATGGACTGAGGGTGGCACATGCCTTTTGAGTGTGGTAGGTGAAAACTCTGCGGTACGGTCAGTTGAGATAATCCTTTAAAATTCCTTCTAATGATAAAAAAGAAAAGAAAAAAAGAGTGTGTTTGTTTAGTAAACCCAGTAATAATCCCCTCATCTGCTTCCAAGTTCAGAGTCAAGTAAAGTGAGCTGGGGGAAACAGGATTTGATCCCAGATGCTCTCGATGTCCATGTGATGTGGCCATGTGAGGTCCATGTGTCCATTCAGTAGAAGTAGCCAGAATCTCTCTCCCAGACAACCTGGAGTCTTGGAATCTTACACTGGAAGGTAAGATTTTCATATACATTCTACTAATTTTCTTTCCTCTCTGACACTTCTATTATAGAGAAAAGGCAAATAGCAATATTAAAATATTCCCTCTAATGAATTCCCTTTTAATGTGTATAAATTTCATGCACCAGGCCATTAGTAATAATAATAATAATAATAATAATAATAATAAAGGAATAAATTGTGTGGTGGACCCTTGCAATGCCACCCAGGTCCCCCTCCAATGAAGGGCTTTTAGCACCTGCCACCAGATGCCGGCCAGCAGACAACCTTCAACTGTGAGCCCTTCCAGGGATTGCTTCGCTGCGGAAGCCCTTCCAGGAGCAACCCACAGCCAATGAGTCATCAATGCCAGAGTACAGATGCCTGGCTGTCTCCACACAACTCTGCGGAAGGAAGGCCATTCTAGCTCCAAGCCCCGCCCCCCCAACACACACACACACACACACACACACACACACTCAGCAGAAGCTGTGGTCAGGCCTGCACTTGGTGTGAGTGCTTCCTCTGCATCTTCTGCTCCCTCCCTGCACTTCCTCGCATGCCCATCCCTGGAGCATGTCCCCTAAACTCCATCTCAGAGGACACTTTCCAGGAGCAACATTGTGACATTGTGGCTCCCCCAAGAGAAAGGTCTGGGGCCCATCAGGTACAGCTGGCTCCAGGGGCACAGGTTGCGTCAGGATGCAGTGTCCCCTCTTTGGTGGCTGTGCTCTCTCTCTTGCTGTTGACTTCACGTTAGGATACATGGGTCCCTGCAGCCTTCAATCCAGTGTGTGGGGCGGGGAGGGGTGGGGAGGCATTTTACCAACAACTCCATAGAAGTTCAAAATGTACTTCTCATTGAACTGATTTGAGTCACAATCTGATTCTTGGGCCAATTACTGCGGCCAGGGAGGAGAGAATATGCTGATTATCTTAAGCCAGAGTCACAAGATCCCCTGGCCGAAGGGATCCAGGCAGCCTGCTCAACAGACCAGACTGTGTGGGCCAAGGGTCAGGGAGTGGCCGTTCCCTGAACAAGGCATGGGTTCTGGGACCAGAAGAAAGGAAAGCAGACACCATGCAGGCAAACCCCACACAGGCCTGCCCCAATGTCGCCACCAGGAAATCGGTCTCCCTGCCACTCCCGTTCCCGGGCCAGGCAGCATGAGACCCTGAGCCCCCTTCCACCTGACAGGCCTGTATGCATTAGATTTGTAGAGCTGCTTTCTGCCCTCACCTCCAGGCTGCTCCCCTTCAGGTCCCATTTTTCCATCTTTTTCTATATGACTTGGCCCTGAGCCCCCTCTCCTCACAAACATTTTCTTCTAAGAACAATTTATCTTTTGTCTTTCCTTTCAAAGTGTGCTGCCCAGAATGAAATACAACACTCCTAGAAGAGTACAAGGTAGTCACTTCTCTCCTTCTAAGTATTCTACTTCTATGAATGGAGTCCAGGATCAAAATCACGAGCTTTTCGTGGTGGAAATAAAAATCGACTTGTGCTCCGGCCTGTTCGCTCAGTGGTTGGAGCACCGGCCCTCAGACCTAAGGGTCAAGGGTTCAACTCTCAGTCAAGGGCATGTACCTCGGTTGAGGTTGCCCAGCCCCGGTAGGGCCTGCTCACGTGTATTCTTCCTATGTTTCTCTCCTCTCTCTCTCTCTCTCTCTCTCTCTCTCTCTCTCTCGTCTTTCTCTCTCCCCATCTCCCTCTTCTACTCTAAAAATCAATGGGAAAAATATCCTGGGGTGAAGATTTTTTTTTAAAGGTGACTTGTAACAATGTTAATTGTTAAACAGCCTATTTGCCAAGTTGCTCTCCCCAGTTCTAATGCTGTCACTCATCTTCTCATTCCAGGTAGTTGTCACTTAGAATTTTTTGAAAAATCTTGTAAAACAACGAATCACCATTCTCTCAGTATTGATTGGATATTAGACCTCATCTTACTTTGGCTCTATGTGCAGGTGTATAAAATTATATAAGTGAGAATAGCACTGGATTAGAGTCCTGGACCCCGGTCCTGAGCGCCAACACGCACGAGCTGTATCACCGTTGTGGGTCACTAATTGCTCAGTCTCCTCTGTGCTGTATCTAAAATGAGTTACACATAGTACAATTCATCTGAGTTGTACATATC